AAAATACCCAGAGTTGTGGGGTCTGAATAATAAATATGTATGTTGGAAGAAAGCTGGTAGGAAATTAGCCGACGAACTAACACAAAAAACCTATGTAACTGTAACAACAGAAGATGTTAGGTTAAAATTAAAAAGGGTAAAAATGAGCTTAAATCGATTAAACAAGACTGAGAGAGCTGAATACACGGGCATGTGTGCGTATCGTGGTAAGTTTGAAATGGACTGTTGTCAGAATAATCGTCCAATTATCAGCTAGGGGGGAAATACTCGTTGACATGGAGGTCGACCACATGGACATTGACACAGATAGCGAAGTTTTTCCCCGAGATAACGAAACGGACATAAAGGAAAACAGATTTTCAGTAGAGTTAAAGAAACTGGCGTACAATGAACAGAGGGAAGAACGGCCATCTCGTATTAAAAGGCCCAATAGATCTAATTAAAAAAGGAGCACCAGCTGGATATACGAACAGGGACCAACAACGTCGGCGAAAGCAGCGCAGAGGGAGAGGAGTAAACGCATTGAACCCGCTGCAAACGAAGATGAAGGCCAGGAAGTTCAAGTAGCTGAAAACCTGGTGGGCATCGAGGCGCTGCGAGAGGTCGCGTGGAAGTTAAGTCCTCACGACAAAATTGTACAGGTACACTTCGACGAAGTGTACACAGATGAGGAATCAACACTTTCTAGGGCGGAGGATATGCTGTATGGTTGTGTATACACTCACTACAAAAAAATTACGAAGCCTGCTAACAGCTTTCAACATGTTAATCAATGCCCTTCTCATCGCTCGCAATAATGGAAATCCGGACGAACTAGACGAATATCTAACTATCGTAGAGTAGATCGGGCTGGACGTGAAGGGAATAGTCTGTGATAGAAGCACACAAAATTTGACTACACTGGCGAAGTTCGTAAACGGAAAGTACAAGAGGAAGCATATATGTAATCCCACGCATGTTTGATTACATACATATATTGGGTGGATCTCGACAGAAAATAGAAGACAACAAGGAACTATTCGACTCAAATATCGTCAAGAAGGTAGATAAGGAGGACGGGCGCATCTCGATATACCTGAAGAAGAGAAGTGCGAACCTATTAATTAAATCAGCTCGAGCGTTCGCAAAAACTGTGGTATGATTAACCCCCACAACGGCAGCAAAGTTAAAACTCGCTGCGAAACAGAAAGTCATCAAGGGGGATAAAGAAATGCGATCATATGAAGTCATCGCTGCTCTAACTAAATTCAACAGCATTTTTCACAGTAGCAAGATCAGCAGCACCAAATGGGAGGAGCAGAAAGCGGTGATAGCGTAGGTTAAAAAATATTTCGAGAATAACCACTAAGCGGTGCAGCTAGATGGCGTAACCATGGAAACCATGGACAGCTTCATGGAAATAATGGATGGGCTGCTGGAGGGTTAATCTGGCATAACTATCCAATCCTACAGGGTGAGCCAAGATCTCTTGGAAAGGATTTTCTGTAAGATAGCACGAAGGAAGAGAAATCGCCAGGCAGGCAGTAGACATAATGAAGCTGATCACCCGACTAATGAGAAGGCAAATCGAATTTTGGGGAAGCGGCTCCACAACAGTCTACGATTATTATCTCATTGAAAAGCTAAATTACACGATACAAGCCCAGGTCGAAGAAAACTTTCTGCCATACGGATGGGGTGCCATTCAACGTAACTGCCGGGCGACTAACCGTAAAAGAAAAGGACTACTTCAGGATGCTCACGAGCTACGGAATAGCGCAATACGTAAGCAGCTAACATGTCAAGTATGCCTCGAGAACCTGACCGTAAGGAAAGAAGAGGCATGCTCAGAAATTGACGGTGAACTTGTCGCCAATGACTCGGAACACGATGAAATCCTGGCCCACGAGTATCTCTAACTCGAATTTCCAAAACACGAAGTCACTGCAGTCTTTTTAAAAGCCTTGAGCATGTACAAGACCATTATGACGTATCACATGATCAAGCCCAACGTCGGCAAGCGCACCCAGGCGACGACAGTGACGCGGCTTGCCTTCTTCAAGGCGTCAGGATCCTGCAGTAGCTACAGTATCCACCGAACAAACCTTCTTTCTTAATATATATGTTGCTGACCGGAAAAAACTGGGTGAAAGAAACAATTGAAAATGTATCATCATTTTAAAGGTAAATCAAATATAATAGAATTATGTTAATATATTTCTAACTTACATTTAAATTTTTTTCTTTAGATTACAAAAGTCCGCCCGCCAAATTAGGTCCAACTCTCCGCTCATCGTCTCATCGTAACATAAGATTCGCTGCATGCCAAAGGTAAGTTTGCATTTATCCTTACTTATTCTTATTTATAATTTGTTTACTTACTTCTATTTCAATTTAGTTTAAAAAGCAAGCATACGCCGCTAATGATTGATTGATGATAGCGCTCCAATTCGCCGTTGTATTCACGGGATCGTACATTATATACCGAAAGCTCTGCATAATCGGAACGTAATCGTTCTTTTATGGGCTTTATTTTTTGATCCCTCTTTAATTTCGATAGGATTTTCTTCATCACTAATTATCTCGTCATCGAGATCTTCATCCAAAACGGAGACTTTGGGTTTTAATTCATTGTTTTCTTCTAGAATAGAATGTTTTGAATACGCGGGAGAATAATATCGCAGACGCTAATCTATATCACCCCAGTTGTCATTTTCTCCGCTGTAATCTTGCCAAACAAACGTATGCGTTGCAATTCATCTCTATAATTGCTATTAATTGCTTTCGTTACTTTTGTTTGTTGCGCTCAATATCAAATCTTCAATACTTTCTCTTATTATTCATCAGCTAAATGAACCAACAAAAACCTAAACCTCGGTTTGGTGTTATTGACGCTTTCATTACCTTGAATATGTGACATATGGCATTTGATGATTTTTGCTAAAACCTACAGTTCATCGCTAGCGATCTTTGTATTTCCAAGTTTTTTTGAAACCTAAACTTACTCTCAATTGCGACAATCTAATATAATCATTCAATTGTGATTGTAAATGAAAGTATGACCTTGAAAATATGGGAATCTTTAGTGAATTGGCTTATACAGGCAAAGACTCCGCAATTAATTGACTGGGTTAAGTGTTGCACCAATACGTCATATAGCCGCAAAATTATAACTTACGCATATTTATAGTGTTTGCGATGATGGCTGAAATTGTTGAGCAGATAGTTACTGTACTTTATAATTGTGAAAATTGCAGTTTGAATTTTGAAAATGTAAAACAGCTCAACAAACATCGTTTATCGTCGCCCACCCATCGTGATGATTTATTCAAGTGTTCACTATACGATAAATGCTCTTTTTTTATACATTTATATATATAAGATTATATATTATATAAAAGCACTTGTACGAATATATGCGAAGAATTAACACAAAATGTTCAAAAATATGCGAAAATCGAACGCCAGGTCTCTAAAGATTTACTAAAACTAGTCAGGAGACGTTCAAGGAGAGATAAATGCTCTTTTTTTTATACATTTATATATATAAGATTACATATTATATAAAAGCACTTGTACGAATATATGCGAAGAATTAACACAAAATGTTTAAAAATATGCGAAAATCGAACGCAAAACTAATGCAGAAGCGAACAGACAGTCCTACGGAAATAATAATGAAAGAGCTAAGGTTGTTATATTGCGGTTTTGAAAGCTTTGGCTAAGGAAAGAATTAGCGATTGGATTCTCAACTGATAGTTACTACACCAAAAAAATGGGATGGTATCAGCCGGTCTTGCCAGAAGAGAATATTTATTTATTTATTTATTTTAATTCTACTTATACATGAAACTCGACTAAACAAATAACAGTCGAGTTCAATTGGCACTTAAAGCAAAACTTATATTAAATTAATAATAAAACTTAGTATAAGTACAATAAAGCAAATAAGACGGGGAAAAAAGAAAAAAAAGCATGTACACAACTAGCATAGCGCCACACTTACAACCGGTACAGGACAAAATTGCAAATGAACCCCTAAGCCATCGCAAACATGCATAAGCCTGGCAACCGAGAATACTTAACAGCAATTCATTTTCCAATCGTAACGACTTTTAAAGATAAAAACTAGTTTAAGTAAGACATAGGAAAATCGCGCATATTAAGCAATGTTGCTTTAATATGTACAGGACGTTGTACTAATTGTTATAGACGAATACATTTACTGGGAGAAGACAGACACATTGAAGTAATTGTGTCACGTACAAATTTCATTACAGCTTTTGTTTCATCCCGCCGTCAAACTCGATTAACCGCTTTCGATCTGATTACTTTAGATACCTACGAAGAGGTAAATGAAATAGCGATAGAAAAAGTATGTTGCTCTAATATATTTCTTCTTTACTTCTTTGCCAGATACTAGATTATTTACGCTTATGGTTGTGGTATTCTGCCGGTGCCGTCTGTGCTCCCGGTGATGTAAAATATCTTAAAAAGCTCAAAAGCTACATTATCAGTAACTACGAAGAATCATATAATAATGATTTATATCAATACGTACAATTTGTTAAACGCAGTGTGAAAGCCAAAAGATGTGCTACCTCTTCTTTTTTTCTATTTTATTCATAGAGTTTAGTGGGAAATCCTTTTGCCTTTTTGCAGGCGAATCAAATCTTTTGTGCTTACATGATTTACTAAACGCTGCTCCTGAATTGTGGGCCTCTTCGTTGCTTTATCTTCTAGAACCTTTGAATAATTCCTTGAAAGATGTCGCGGAAATAATGCGTATACAAGTAGTTCAAGTTTTGACTATTATTGACTTACCGACTCGATGATCGAGAATTTGACGCTAATGTTAACACTAAACGTACCATGCGCAGTCAAATAACCGTTTTTAAAATTTTGTTTAAAATTTCTCGCATTCAACGTTATTGTGTAATCATGTAGCTTATTGAATTTTCGTAAAATACATATACATCGAAACGCGGGGATCGAGTTTTTATTGTAGCATCAGAAAAATATTTTGTTTACTATCTACTTTCCTAAGATACATACTTTTTTTTGAAATGTCGGTACGTTTAGTGTTAAAGAATGCTTGGAGGCTTTACCACAACATTCATTGGAACATAAGCACGGTTGGCTGTTAGTTCTTATCCATGCCTTGAGTAAAAAAAATTGGATATCTCATCATCATACAATGTCAAACAAGGAATTTCGCTGAATGCCAAAATTTTGTAGATGCTGTGAAAGTTACGGGTAAATTTCTGAATACAGTAATTTTTTATGAAACTCATTATTAAAAAGTAGTGTGTCCATTCCAGAATCAGTGCCTTTTTTAGTCTGACACCAGATCAGATCAAAAAGTGGAGCTATTTGGAATTTTCCGGTGAAATAAAATTTCAAGTTATGCGATATGATTTTTCAAGGAAAATTTTTCTTTAATAACTTCAGTTATGCAAGCTGTGAATTGGAAAATTCATGTGACTTTTAAAGTTCACGGCAAAGGTACAGAATTATTTGGTGACGGTTTTGCCATATGGTACGCCAAGGAACGTATGCAACCAGGGCCAGTTTTCGGTAGTAAAGATAATTTTTCTGTTATAGAGTTATATTAGACACTTACAACGATCAGGTCAAATGGAACAAATGGTGCAAAAATGAAATCAAGAGGGTATATATAAACAATGGGTTCTACTTCATAACGTATTTAATTCAATTATAAATCTTTAAATTATTAGAAACGATGGCGCAGTTAGTCATGAATCTGAAACAACCCTAATACATCACAATAACAACCAACAACGGCAGCGATACTTTTAGATACTTTTATGAATGGTTCCGCGTATTGATCCTTGTAATGAAGAAGAATTTCCCTGATTAGCTGGGGCGAGTAGTGCTGCTAACATGTCTTTAACGCGCCCACCGCCGCCTTCAATGTTTAATCGTAGTCGCATGTCTGGTTTGCCGCGAACAAAAGAAAACTTTCCTGCTTTATGTGGCAATGCCAGCAATGCAGCTCGCACGCAGGAAAACACTTTTCCCATATCTTCAATGTTAAGAAAGCAACCCACGCCTGCCACTGGAGCTATAACACGAACTACTACTCCCACAAATGTACCGTCAACCAACAACAATGGTAGCAGCAAGGTTATTCATGTATCTAATCGTCCCAATATCACAGCGGCAAGAAACCCTTCACTATAGATTTTCCAGCCTTACCTAGTGGAAAAATGAAGAAGCAAACAGGCGGAGTTCAAGTCCCAACCGCTATAGTATCGGCTAAACATCGTACTTTAATGGATGGCTATGTTTATAATTATTGTCGTTTTTATTTAAAATTTCTAAAATCTGGGTATCGACATCATAACAGATAAATTCATGAATATCCGTTTTCACACGCTGCCCTCCATATATGTAGAGTTTACGTTTTTTCTTAAATTATAAAAATTAAAAAATATATCATTATAAATGCTTTGACTCCTCCTTACATTATGAAAAACAATGCAATGAGTTATTCGAGATTTAACTGACATAACATCCGGCAGCGACGCCGACGGATGGTGACAGGATGGTGTTTGTAGCGACATGATATGAAAACAATCCAGAATACTCTGTCTCGCTAGAAGTGCTAGCACTAACACTGCGTGGCGTCAGTACTTCCCCGTCAAAAACATAGATCATGCGTTTGTCAGCATCGATGCACATCTGATGATCATATACAAGTGGCGGGCCACTAACTTGAAAATTATATTCGGTCGTGACCAAATCTTTTACACCCATCCTCAAAAACACTGAAAAAAGGAAAACAACAAAAATTTTTTTATACTCTATAATATTGCGTGGGCGTGGGTGACATTTTTTATTTTCAGGATAAAAGTGGAAATTTAAATGATGTATGTGTGCATTTTATGAGCACCAACAACAATTTTTGTTACATACGCGTCTGGGTCACTTTTAAATTCTTTTGCAAATTTGTAGGCGATATCTTCATTTTTGTGAAAGAGTGTTTGTAATCTCAGCTATGAATGACTAATCATTAAATAGCTTGAGTATTGTGGCAATGTTTGTTGAAATAAAGATAATAAGATAAGGATTTTTTACACGTTTGTATATTTACTATTTGAGCGTAAATCCACTTCGATTATCTATTATAATTACAATAAATAAATGCTTACGTCAGCTATTATAGATTTTATGAAAGTCAATGGAAACAATGCATTAAATTCTACTGCCGTCCAGTCTCCGTCAAAAGGGATTTGTTGGTGGCGATGATTTACGTGTAGAAATTTGCAATATTTTTAACGCATTTTCTAAGCTGTCTAATGATGAGAGCATCTCCAACAGAGAACTATCGTGCATATGTTGTTGGCATAATTTCCGCAGTTTAATCGCAGCCTGCTTCATTTCTTGTAGGTAAACTGCAGATAAAATAGAAAAATCTGAACTTTTCCCATATCCATTTTCTTTAACATTTGCTTCAGAAACTTTTACAGTCCCGCCCGCATTGACGATTCCACAATTCTGCGGTCTTACCGGCGAATCTCTCAGGGAGTTGCCTTTATAAGCCTTAAGATCTATAGCAATTCCACTTGAATTGTATGAATTATTAAGACTTTCGTCTAGGTCTGCTTCCACTAGCTTCCATTCGATGTCAACCGAATTAAAACAATTATCAGAATCAAAATGTTCTAAATCTCGCATAATATCAAGCCATACTTGTAAACGCGCTAATGGCCACTCAGCTACCAGCTGATTCGGTTTGTCTATAATTAAAATTTTTGTCTGGAATAACATCCCAAACTCGTCCGCTACTTGAGAATGTTTAAACTCGTACTTAAGGTTATGTATATGAGAATATTGATTAGCTTCCTTTACCTGTTGAAAATTTGAAAAAGAATTTATAACAAAACAATGGGAATGAAATAAAATAAATACATAGTATACTGAAGTATATTCATTTTAAGTTTATTTCATTAGCAATTAATACCGTTTTTCATTTATTGCTGCAATATGGATTTAGCTCACTTTTTTATTAAAATGTTAGAGAAGGACCGGTTATGCACCAGCCTTGAAGGGAACTACGTTAAGAAATGAAGTTAATTTTTCCGAAAAGAAAAAAAGTCTTTTCTAGTTCCAATAAGCACTGACTGGTATATTACATATTTCTATATTTAACGTTCTAAGTTAACTACAAAGTTCTAATGGCTTTTTTTGTAGAATGTCTTATATTAACTATCAAAATACGCGGTTTCGAGAAAACTTCGTTTTTTATTGCAAACGTTTCATCCTGGAACATCCTTCTAAGATTTTCGAACATATATTAGAAAGAAGCGGAAAGGGATAGAATTTATAGATTGTTTAAATACCTTTTCAGATAAAAAGCGTATGATGCATATAAAGTTTTACTAACATTATATTTGTGAGAAATGTTTTTACTGTATATGAAGATGTATTCGTACCTCTTCCAATTTACTTATCACTTTTAGTGTAAATCATAAATGCAACTATACTTCATTATTGTTTAGTTTATTGACCAAACGGATAAAAATATGTATTCAGCTTAAAGACTTTTTTATAACCTTGTCTCCATTATTGCTTTGAACTTGGATTGATTTTCGAAAGCAAATAATTTAATCAAAGTTTGCAATACTGCTCTTGTTACAATGCGCTCATAATGGGTCATTTAAAAAATAAGGACCTTCTGTTTTCAGATTTGGTTAGCGTCCAATACATATGAAGCTGATGGAGGATATTACGACGTGAGAGTGGATGAAGTTTGCTTAAAATTAAAAAATTCCCAATTTACTTTAATTAGTACTAACGCCACGGAAAACAAACAAACAGAAGTTGTCCCATAAATAGTTTCGAAGTTATCAGAGATTTAGAAATGACTTACATTTACATAAAGTTGCCTTTAGGATAACATATGAGGTGACCATTGTCGCTCTACATAATTCTATATCCGAGATTGACTACAAAACTACAGAAGATGCTAGCCACATCGATAGCGAAGAAAAATTATAGCGATGGAAAGGTTCACATTGGCAGTCAAAATCGTGCCTTGCGTCCAATCAGAAAGACGATGTATCACGAAATATCGCTACGAACGAATATATGCTCGAATTTGTATTGTCAACGCTGAGAGTCTTTATACTTAACCCCTTAAAGCTAATGGCCCCCTCTTATCGATTGGATACGTTCATGACAGCGTCAACCGTATAAATCTTATCTTTGATCATGGGAAAGAGTGCAACCAAATACTAAATTTTAAATGCCACTGCCAGGACATTACTTGTTTGGAAGTTTGCAAAACTACTTGAGGGTCATCAATCAGTGTCAAAAAAAACTTTTATACTCTCAGGCCTTCGTAATCTACAAGACAGTATTTGTTAGATAATGCATTAATGCATTCAAAACATGCAAGCGCATGCTCACATTACATGGGATTTTCACACAAACAGTAGTAAGAAATAAATATCTGATTATAATAATAATAACAGTTGTGTGTGAAACTGACCAAGCAGCATTTATACATACCAACAACTGCACTTTGTGTAAGCTTTCTCTGCTCGGCTTTTGCATAATATCATTAATTTCATCTAAAAATTGTTGATTATTTGAATTGGAGGTCATCACATTATTCAGCATACTATCATTCCGAATGGTCTGAGTCATATTGGTTCCACGTTCGGATTCTAAAATTTCTTCATTGCATTTTAACATAATCTTTTCTAATTCTAATTTCTGAACGAGTTCTATGTAGTTTCGTTCATTTTCACTTCGCTCTTTTTCCATGTTTTGGATGGCCATTTGTTTTTCTTCCTGTAGTTGAAGTCTAAGCTTCTCTTCTTGCTTTTCTAAAATCTCTTTATATGCTAAATGATAATCGATCACCTGAAAAAATCCTTTTACTATAAAATTTGAGTAATAACACATCTCTTATAGTTTACCTGTTTTAATCCTTTACTAGAGCAAAATGGATTAGAGACACGAAAATAATGGGAACCGCCAAGTATCAAACGATCGGCATGAAACATTTCTGATTTACATGTTACTAGTTCCCCATTGAGGTAGGTTTCAAAATGATCACTTCCTGGAATAACGTACAGACGACCGCCATCATTTTCAATTGCGCTGCAAGTGTGCTTAGGTTAGAACGATCATAATGTTTATATACATATATATATATATATATATATATACCAGTGATTATGAGCGATCAGTTGTCCATCAAGAGTGATATCAGGTTGCGATTCCTCTAAGGATAAGCGCGTCCTTCCAATTGTTACAGATCCTAAAGGCAGTATATAAAAGAGAGTCCCACTAAGCATGGGGTCTTCCGATAAATTAACAAGATAAGCCTGGTTTGAATTCTTTGTCAACTCCAAGGCAAGTCCCTTACGTTTAAGTAATTGCATCTCTCTTTTTCTTAAATTCTCAGCTTCTGATAAACGTTCCATCCAGGATTTCTGAAAACGGCAAAGTTCTTTTTCTCGTTCAATAAGTTGCTCTTTCAAGTTTTCAATTTCGTTTTCGCCACTTGCACCTGCACTATTATTAACTTTTTTAGGTGTTTCGGATATTTCTAGTCGTTGACATTCATTCTGCAATAACTTTAATCGATCAATTTCAGCTCTTAATTCTCTTATAATTTTATCATTTTCCGATTCATTGATTTTTACACGGTTTAAAATACTACGTGCTTGATAAGCATATCGCAGTGTAGCTAAGGTTTCCTCTATATGCCTATTTGCTGGCGATATTGTTGCTAACATAACTGTTTTCGAATTTCCTCCAAGATTTTCCTTAAAAACCAGAAGATAGGCAAAAATTGAATAAACTAATGTTTTATTGACTACAAATAAATAACAATTTAAAACATAATTTGCAGAAAGCTGGAATGTTTAAAATCTTCTATTATATGTTACATATTTTTTCAGGATAATTACCCTCATCAAATCATTCAAACCAACCTATGTTAAGTGTTAATAAATGTTTCAATTAATTTTACTTGTGATTGAAACATTTTCTCGGCTCTCAGAAAAACTTGATGCAATTTCTTATCACACTCTCAGAATTGAACGCAAATTTCTCACACTAACAAAACGGGACGCAAATTTATCGAAATTTTAATAAACGAAGTTTGACAAAGTGAAAAATTGCTAAAGAAGAATGATATATATTATAAAGAAAAAAGGGAAGTATCAATATTTATTTATTTTAATTCTACTTATACATGAAACTCAACTAAACAAGTAATAGTTGAGTTCAATTGGCACTTAAAGCAAAACTTATATTAATTAATAATAAAACTTATTATAAGTACAATAAAACAAACAAAGAGAAAAAAAAAAAGAGAAAAAGAAACCAGCACACAGTACACAAACCAGTACACAACCAGCATAGAGCCACACTTACAACTGGTACAGGACCAGATTGCAAATGAACCCCTAAGCCGTCGCAAACATGCATAAGCCTGGCAACCGATAATACGAAAATAGTTAACAACAATTCATTTTCGAATCGTAATGACTTTTTAAGGTTAAAAGCTGGTACGACGTAGGTAAATCGCGGGTATTAAGCAATGTTGCTTTAATGGACTTTAAAGAGTCCGATAATGAGAATAAGTGATAGACGTCATTTAGGTTCTTTCAAACAACTCTGAGCGGATTCAACAGCTTATAATTATATTTACACTGACTAAGCTTAATCAAGATAAAGTGCCTAGAGAAGCGGTTAGGGACATTAAAGCTTATTTCACCAAGTAATGAAGGCGAGTCGATCGCACCATTTATTACTTTGATTACAAAGGAAACGCCAAGAACAAATTTACGTTTCTCAATAGACGGTAAGGACAACAGAAGCAACCTATCTTCATAGGGAGGAAGAGAAGCAATCGGATCCCAACCCAACTTTCTAAGGGCAAACAGCAAGAATTGCTTTTGAACAGATTCAATTGAATCTACATAGCACCTATATGAAGGAGACCACGCAACAGAGGCATGCTGGAGTATGGGTCTAACCAAATACATATACAGCCTTTCCGTAATGTAGGGATCACCAAGCTCTTTGGACCCCCTTTTTGTAAAACCAAGCGCGGACCTAGCTTTGCTTATCGAGAGCTCAATATACAAATTAAAACGTAACCTATGGTCAAATAGAACGCCTAAATCTGTGATCGAATCGACGTCCTCCAACTTATGCGAACCTATGAAATACTGAGTAATGAATGACTTTCTTCTTGAGAAAGAAAGCTTCTTACATTTACTCAGATTTAGTTTGAGAAGATTCAAAGAGCGCCATGCAACAAAATTATCCAAGTCACCTTGAAGCTGATGTGATTGCGATTCAACAGAGAAGGAAGAAAACAGTTTCACATCATCAGCACACATTAAGATCTGGCTGGATTTAACCACCGATGGAAGATCGTTAATGTATAAACTAAATAAAATGGGGCCTAAGTGACATCCTTGAGGTACGCCAGACATAACGGGGAATTCATGCGAGGTGATGAAGTTAAACAAAACCCTGAAGGATCTATTGTGCAGATAAGAGCTTATCCGTTTCATTAAATAGAAGGGAAGCCAGAGGATTGGAGTTTAAAGATAAGTAAGTTATGGTTAATCATATCAAACGCTTTGCTTAAATCAGTTTATATAACATCTGTGCGAGAGTCACTAGAAAAAGCCTTGAAAACATGACAAGTAAACTCTAACAAGTTGGTGAATGTAGATCGCCCTTTCCGAAAGCCATGCTGGTGTGGAGAAACGTACGAATTAATGGCAAAGGCCAAATGCTGAGTCACAATTCGCTCGAACAACTTGGGCAAAACACTCAACTTGGCTATGCCTCTGTAATTCCCAACAAATTGTCTACTTCTACTCTTTCGGATAGGAATAAGGAAACTACTCTTCCAACACGAAGGGAAAACACCTAAATTCAAGGACTGGTTAAAAATCCTTGAGATCACACCACATAACTCGACACCGCAAGATTTAAGTACACATGCTGAAATTCCATCAGGTCCTGGCGCACAACAATATTTTAGAGAACTCAACCCTAAAAACGTCATATTCCGAAATTACCAAGTTAGGAATTGAGACGGAGTTAGTTATAGGATATGGGTAGTTTGCTGATAAATCGAAATTAGCAATCGAAAAGTTTCGTCGGAAATACTCAGCAAACAGATTTGAGATTTCAAAATCATCCGAGGAATCAGAGCCATTAAAAGAAACACGAGAGGGATATGTGGAAATTTTTCTTTTAAAGTTAACAAATTGAGAAAATATTTAGGATTAGCAAACAGAGAGGATTTAATGAACTGAAGGTATCTGCAGTAATAATGGTGATTGAGGGAGTTAAATCTATGCCTCGCCACCGAGTAAGCGCAATAGTAGAGCGCAGAACCACTTTTTGAGTATTTTTTGAATAGCGTTTTTTTTCTATTCTTTTAATATTTAATTGAAGTACCAAATAAAATTTTATATTGAATTAAAAATCACTATAGTGTCAATAAATTTAAGAATATAAAGAAAGTGTAAGAAAGTGTATAAAAGAAAAAAAAAGTAAAAAATTACCCGCAACAGATATGTCAGAACGCTCTCACGGTAAGGCACAAACGTCCTGCTCCTTTTATCTGCCAAAGCGGCTATCACTTTTCCCAATGCTAGAAGACTTTTATTAATGTGAACACCTTCTCGTTTGTGTAGATCATTTGTTCCACTGCAACGCTCGCTGCCGGCCAGATCAACAAGGCTGATTTTACTCCGACGTCCTTGATTTACTTTGCTTGACGCGAGCGATTCCCTATTTGTTACATTCAGCATTATATTCAAAATCGAATGCGATCTTGAACTTTTCTCATTTAGGGCCGTTGCCGCTGTTGCTCGCTGCGAGTGGCCAAGGATAAGCCAATGTTGTAAAGCTTCACACGTGTCAACAGAATGTACGCTCAACTCAGCTACGTATGGCCCCCAAATTGGATGTTCACGTACTTTAAGACATTTTTGAGAGTTTTTTACAGAAATACCTGCAGGTTCTATGTTTTTTTGACTACTATGCTTGACACAAAGCAAATCATGAATTCTTTCATTATATATTTCAAAATAGCTTACTTCAATTTCGACTTGAAATTCTTCACGATGTGCTTCCAGATAATGAAAGAGTTGGTAACAGAATCTTGGAATAATTCCAGCTTCACAGCTGAGAGCATTTTGATTGAAATTATCACGGCTGAAAGGATCGGAACCCATCATACTGTACGATTTACCAGAACCAGTTTGGCCGTATGCGAAAAGACACGCATTGTATCCTTCAAATGCTTTATCTAGAAGTGGGCATGCTATTGTTTCAAACACTTGTTTTTGCGTATCAATGTAATCTATATTATTCGATTCAAAGACGTGGTCATAGGTAAAAGTGTGATAAGTGCCTGTAGATGCACCTGGCGTCACAACTGGTACGACTAGTTGGTTCCCATTGACTTTAACAACGCTTGAAGTTCTTTCTGACAAATTTAAAGGCCGTATACGCACTGCAACTACGAGACGATCTTCAGTGCCTTTTGCCAAACATGTACGAGATTTTCCTGGCGTGGATTTATGAAAAAAATCCTTTGCTGGCGTTACATTAATTGGACGATGATTTGGGACAGCGTTGCGAAAGAGCGAGGAAGGAGTGTGACAAGCATTTTCTTTTGGAGTTTTATATTTTTTCAGTTTGAAAGGAGACTCTTCTTGGGCGGCACCTTCTTTTCTTTCAATATTCCTGAAAACTTCTTCACAAGAATTGTGTTTGTTTGGCAGCTTCCTAGCCTGATGAGTTGTTGATGTTAATTCGTTTCGTCCAAAATTATTCATTTTTAATGCAATTTATTTCGCGCCTTATTCAATAGTTCCTTCATGTTAATAATTCTATTCTGAACAGTGATGTTATTTATAAAATAGAAGAGATATTAAAGCGAATTTCCCAAAGTACGACTCGGATTGTGAAGTTTTTAAGACAAAGTTACGTGGTTGACTACAGCGTTTTCTTTCACTTGTTCCAACGAAGAGAATTGAGAAAAATTTATAGAAACAGATGGCGAAACAATGATGTGATAGCGCGATCGTTCAAAATGAACATAAATATCAAAAATATTTATACACATAAATTTCGCAAATAATAATGCACAATCGTTTAATCAATATAACGCAATAGAAAAATAATTAATCAAAGACATGCATCACAATTTTCTTAACTGCAGAACTCAGCAGTAGTGTCTTTAAAAGAAAAAAGAACCAAGTTTCTCTGCGTAAAAGTTTTTCAGCTAAAAAATTAGAAGTGATGTGATTAGGCAATTTTAGTACGCAGATCAATCATATATGATGTATCTTTTGCATGAACCCAATTGCATGTATTTGTCTACCACAGAAACTCGATAAACTTCATATTTTTCTATATTTGTCCTATGATAGTGAGTAATTGAATTAATATCCGTTATATCCCATTTGATTTCAATTTCATTTGTTCCAAACAACAGACAACTTTTTTCCAGACAACTTTGACATTCAGCATTTGCTAACTTACATCAACAAATTTTTTGCAAAATTCAAAATGTGCGATTTCGAGCCATCGAAACAACATTTACGAGAAGTATTACTCCATTATCACATCTTAAATAAAACTATTGCTGAAACTCGTCGATTGCTAAAGGAAGCCTACGGAGAACATGCGCCCTCAGAGCCAACATGTAGGGAATGGTTTAGGAGGTTTAAAAGCGGTAATTTTGAGATCAAAGACAAAGAGCGTCCGGGCCAACCAAAAAAATTTGAAGATGAGGAATTGAAAGAAGTATTGGATGAAGATCCATGTCAAACGCTTAAATCCATAGCAGAAACATTGAATGTTGACGAATCGACAGTTTCCAAACGTTTAAAGTTAATGGGCATAATTCAAAAACAGGGAAGAATTTGGTTGCCATATGAATTGAAACCAAGATATATTGAACGGCGCTTTACGGTATGATGATATTTTGATGAAATTTGGTATACTTACGTGTTTTGACTTAAGAAATTGCTGTATAGGTATGTGAAATGCTGCTTCAGAGGCATCGAAAAAAGAGTTTTTTGCATCGCATTGTTACAGGCACTGAAAAGTGGCTACGTTGTGATAATCCAAAGCGCAAAAAGCTGAGCCATTGTTTATCATCACCTTCAACGTCAAAGCCGAACATTAATATCTCCAAAGTAATGTTGTGTATATGGTGGGATCAATTAGGGGTAGTGTTCTACGACCTTTTGGATCCCACCGAAATAAACAATAGCGAACGATATAAACAACAAGTGATACAGTTGGACCATGAGTTGAAGGCGAAACGTCTTCAGTATGCCAATGGGTCAGACCTAGTTATTTACCACCACGACAGTAATCGCTTTAGCACCAGAAACAGTGCTCGATCACCTGTTGCCAAACTGCTAAAAGAAACTTTTCAGGTGCTTGGATGGGAGATTTTGCCACATCCGCCATATTCTCCAGATATTGCCCCTTCCGATTATTTATTCCAAACAATGCAAGAGAATCTGGCAGATCAGCACTTTTCTTCTTTGGAGGACATGAAGAAATGGCTTGAATCATGGTTTGAATCGAAAGATGAGTCATTCTTCCGCCGAGGAATAAATCAACTGCCTGAAAAATGGGAAAAGGTTGTGGCTAGTGATGGACAATATTTTGAATAAGTGTGATGAATATTAGCTATTGATCTCAGAGGTTAAACGACTACGGAAATTAATTCAAGTACAATTAGATTAAACAATTTTCCGCTTACCATGATTGTCACACAAACGGGAAGAGGTGGAAAATTTGGCAGAAGGAAGAAGAATCAGAAGCGCTCTTCTTATCGATTAAAACCAAGCATTCTTATGTCTAAATCTCTTTCGTTTTTATTGACATTTTTTTTTCTCTTCCCTCAAATTAAGAAATATAATTTCTATTAATTAAGTATACATGATGATTAAAAGTACGAAATTCTCATGATTTTTTCGTTAAATATAAAAACTGTACATACTATTCAAACGTTGCTATAAAATACATAAGTGTTACACCAATTAATAGTGCCATTATTTCTTTAATAGACTGCACCAATTTAGTTGATTCTTCTAGAAGTTCCGGCAAGACGCTAACGGTTGCGATATATATGAATCCGCCGGCTGTAAATGGCAAAATCCACGGAATTGACTCTGTGCTAGCGCCGATACCAATTAGTGCTAAAATATTACCAGTTAACGCACCCAGTGCAGTCACTAACTGCAGCATAAGCGCTCGCCTCCGCGTACAACCAGATTTGATAAGGATGGCGAAGTCGCCAATTTCATGTGGCACCTCGTGAAGCAAAATCGTTATTGTTGTTATTATACCAATACTTTCTCCGGCTAAGTATGAAGCCCCTATAGCAAGTCCATCGGTAAAATTATGTGCAAAGTCGGCAGCCAAATTAAGATAACCAGCTATTTCCACGTCCGTGGTGTCATCCTGAGGTGCTGAAATTTTAAAGTCTGAAGCCTGGTGGTCACCGCTTGCTAACGATTTCTGATCTTTGACTTTTTTAGGTACACTGCTTGTGTGACTGTGGCTATGTCCAGTGCCTTTAATAAATCGAACCAACTTTTCTACAGCTAAAAAAATTATGATTCCAATAAGGATCCACAGACCAATAATTATGTCGCGGTTATGTCCGTGTGGCTCCTCATGTGAATGTTCATTATTACATTGTTCATGTTCATGTACATGTTCATGTGGATGGGGGTGGACAGCATGGGGAATTAGATGTAAAAATGCATCCCCTAAAAGTCCACCTGACGTAAAGGCGAGAAATATTTTAAGGCGTGGTTTCATAGAGTCGCTGTTGTCCAACGGTATCAAAAATAATAATAAAAAAGGCGCCGCGCTTATTAACAATGTGGAAACCAGCGAGTATAACCATACATAGTTCATATCTGTGAATTAAAATTATTATTTATCACTTTACCTTCTTTTTTTAAAGAAAGAATTAATAAAAATATCTACCAATGGAACCAGTATGTTTATGATTGCATTGATGCAATATTTTAACTTCTTCATTTAGTTTATTGGCTTCTCGTGAATACTTAAAACTGGGTGACTCGTGATTATGGCATACTGTAGGAGAAGGTAACACCAAAATGCAAAATAATGCGCAAAACATTATTTTTTTGCATGTCTGTAAATTCACATTTTTACAAAATCTACTTTTCATATTAAATGAATAAAAACGTACACGTCATGAATATAAAATAAAAAAGGATCCAATATGCTTCTATAATTAACTGTAAACACAATCGTGAATTTTATGAAAGATTTTGACAAGAATAGTGACCTATTAGCTAATAACGTATCGTACCGTATCGTTTAGATATTTAATTTTCGCGAAGCGTTTTTAAAATATGTACGCAATCAAGAACTTAAAAAAGAGAAAGAAATGATAAAATATTCTCAAACGAACTCAAACGGAAAAAATCAAAATCTTTTTAAATTAGGAAGCATTGTACATGAGAGATATGAAAATAATTTAACAAAACGGCAAATTTCGCTTTGTGAAGTAAGTTTTCGTTTTCATATGGATATACAGAGTATAAACGTTAGGCTCAATTTCATATTATTACTATTATTAACCAGTAATTAATCATTAAATAATTACAAGTGAATTGCATTATCGTTTAATATTAATGAAGATTAAAAAATATAGGTTACAAACCTGCCTCACTTTAGTTTTACTTTCATTTATTATTATTATTATTATAAATTTAACCGGAGAATAATTTCTAAAAGTAAAGCTTAAAGCACCAGCATCTAAGGCTCCCGGCGTTATTAAAAACTGTACCGCACTTGAGATTTTAACCCACAACCATTGAGTTGCTAGTCGAGACTCTTGCCCACTCTGCCACTCAGGCGGATACTTTCATTTAACATCTGTTAGACTTATTAAAATTGAGCAGTTCTATTTTTATTTTTTCCACTAGCCCATTGGGCAAACTATCCTCTATAGCCTGCATTCGGAAGGGTAATGTTAAAGAATTTCTGTTTCCAGTTAGCGCCACAACTATATATCGATCAGCTGAACACATAGCTTGCATGCGTTCAAACCCTCGTAAATCTGACTTCCACACTGGCGTTTTTTAAATTTTCCAAGCAAACTACAATAATACCGAATGAGCAATATACCAAAACGTGCGCTGCTAGTGTTATTTTTATTTCCCCATAAAAATGAACGACAAAATCTGTTGGGAGTTTACATTCAAATTAAGCGAAGTGGTAAAACGGAATCTGTAGCATTCGTAATGTTTTCGTTGGTATTTCGTTGCAATAGAAAACTGTGGAGGTCTACTTTTCATCAAAACCGTTACATGAGTTCAAAAAGTACACAAACATAGATCCCAGAGTCAATTTTTACGTCGGATTGTTACCTTTATCAATTTTTGTCTTTGATATATTAAAAATCAAATTCTTTTGCAACATAAAACCTGTTCTTCGCATGAACGGTTTGAAACAGTTTATTGCGCGATACGTGAGTGCATCAAATTTCGTCCAAAATATCTGGAGACTTGCAACCTTTAGATTGAATGTAAAATTGCATGCGTAGACTATAGACATAGGGGCAAGCCTTAATTCGATTTAGAAAATGATTGTGGGTCAGTCGGTGCAATGAAAAGGTAGTCTCCCATAAATCTAGAAGTGGTTTAGGGCGTGATGACACTCTTTTTTTTTTGCAATAAATGAAATTGAATTCAGTGAATACTAGTAAAGATATTCATTGTTCTCGATTCTATGTAAGCATTTTGTTAGTAACGCAAATATTTCTTTTCTCTTTTCTCTTGCGTTGGTCCAGTGTTCATGAGTTTTTTAAATCTTCCATAGAGTTTGTTTTTCCTTCTCTTTTTTATTTCGGTTGTTTACTATTAGCATAATTGTTTTTGCCCGCAAACCAAAAGTAAATTAATTAATTTCTCTGAAGCTTTTTGGACATTATTATCTGCATTTGCCAATATATCTCATCCGCTTTAGAAAAAATCCTTTTCATATATATGTTGGTATAAAGGATATATAAGTTATTAGACGCTACTTACTTAGCTAGAGAAAACTAATAACCGCTGGCTTCAGAGATACTGAATAATAACAATTTTTGTAGCAAGTAAATCAATATTTTATACAATGTAACTTCAGTAATCTTATCTCTTGTAACGTCCGCGAACAAGATTCAGGGAGGGTGTCTGTCAATCTGCTTTTGCCACGAGTGTCATAATAACGGCATGCCGTTATATGATATCGCATGATTTTACTGTTTCTCTGCATAATAACGGCCAGCCGTTAGGTATGCAAAAGAGAAGAGAGGGAGAGACATCATGCGAAGAAATTCGGTGGCGGGTTTTTCGTTTTGATCGTTTGAGAGGAGTCGAGCATTATCTACCGAAGCGAGCGGTCGCAATGAAATAAGCGTTCAAGAAAAAATGTATGGAAATAAATATCTGCATATGTTTTGTTTGGGAAAGTACAAAGTCAAACGCGTATGAGAAAAAACAAAGAAACTGTCCTACTGCAATAATATATATTGGAATCCTGCAAACAAAAAGAAAATAAGAGACTGTGGGAAGGTATGTTAATCTGCCGAAATCATTAAAACTGTCATTTTCATTTTTGGTTTACATTGCAAAGTAAAGGAGTCAAGTCATTATATTCAGCGTCAAATAAATGGTGAATCGTTCTTATGATATATAGCAATAGAAAAGAACTGTCCGTATATCAATATATGTGGGTGCAAATGTATAAACATGTGGTTTCAACCAGGTTTTCCTTAAAAAAAAAAAAACAAAGAACAACACAAAACAACAACAAAAGAGAAGTGCTTAAGTTGATTCGAAATGATTCGCTTTTGTTTGTTTATGTATCAATACCCAAAAATTTTCCTTTAAAAAAAACGACATACGGCATAAATTAGAGATTATTAAATATATAGCCTATTAATGATTTCTTTTATTGAATTAAATGATTGTGAAACCAATTGTTATTTTGGGCGAACGATAAAGACATATATATACAAAGTTACTAATAATTTTACGTAAATTCTGATATGAACATAAGAATTCGTTTGTATGATATAGAAAAAGAGAAAGAAAAAAGCAAAAGCTATCTACATAATAAGAGAAGGGAAAGTAATTAAAGAGCTTTGGCTATGTAGAAAAGTCAAATGGAGGGCAAGCAATCACGAAATAGTATACGTGAACATATGTAATATTGTGGAGAGTATTAACAGAAGATAAATACTTGTACATGCGATTAATTAGTTATGTTTATATGTTTAATAAAAATCATGTACACATAAATAATAAAGTGTATTATATTAACCTGCAAATAAAGTCGAAAAAGCTATTGAGAGAAGGAACTGCGAACAAGATGATTTTCTTATAGTAAGAGTGAATCAAAGGATGTGGTAACGCACATTAATCATGTAAAGGGAAACAGTCAACACGCAAAAAAGCGATAACGCGAAATAAAAAACACTTTGTAATGAACTCCGTTGCTTTCTATGGTAATAATACTAATAATACACGATATTAAGTTATTAGAAAAGGATCGTTTTTGGCGCATATTGCAAGGATTTCTATAGAGTGATGGAGGCCAATTGCTAAAAGAAAAAAACGAAGGAAACCAGGGTAAAAATGAAGCTCAGGTTCTCAACTCGTATCTGCCAAAATTACTAAGAAACCCAACGTTAGAAGTTAGTTTTTTAAAGTGAAATTTTAATATTTATCGAATATTTATTACCACGTTTCTAAAACCGGTTTTAAAACGATATACCCATTAACCTAGTTAAGTAAATTAATAATTGGCATCTAAACTCTCGGCGAAGACTTGAAGAGGAAAAAAATAACAATCAATCCAAAGCAACCGCTACAGCAGTAACTGTTAGCAGCAGAGCGCCTGTCAACACAATCATAGCGAAGTAAGAGAGCAGTAAGAACAACTTTGAAACCGAACGAAGGAGACAAGGGCGGCACGTTTGGTACTGACACCAATGGAGATGCGAATGCCAACACCGGGTAGAGAGAGGTGGATATGTAATAGGCGTACTTGCAGTTTATTACAGGAAGATATGTTTACGGTAATTACATCATGCCTGTGTAGATAAGGGACTCCACTGCAAAGGCGGAGCATGGGCAGGGAGCGTACGTGAGGGAAGAGTAGAGAGACTGCGGATTGGACAAACGGACTAAGACGGGGCCAACGAACGTCAGTCAGGACAAACCACAGACCGACGTACTAGTGACGAGTAGTTTAAAGGAAAACGTGTGGGTATCTTAGTTTATTTCATGGTTCATATTTTGTGTTTTTTTTCTCCTCTACTGTTGTCATGCGGTACGGCGGACAAAGGGCAACCGCTCTACCGCCATGAGCTAGGCCGTACATGCCATGTTACACCCTTCAACTTTATTTCAGATGAAAAATTGCTCATTTTACTGTTGCTGACTAGCATTACATGAATTGTCGCAAATGCAACAAATTCACTTCTTTTCAGCAGCACAACAGCAATCTCCTGTTTTTAGAAGGATGCGGATTGAATAACTGAAATATTTTTGGCAAAAAGACGCTTAGAAACTTTGTAGGCAATACTGCAATAAAATAAAATAGCCGTAATTCTATTGCGCTTTAACTTGTCTATAGCTCTAAACGTAGTCAAATTTTCCATATTCATTTACTATATCAAAAATTAATTTTCACTGGTTTTTGCAAAGAAATATTAAGGGCTGCAAATTTTGTCAACATAATGGTATTCTTATTCATTTTGTTGTTTTTGCATAAAATTTTGTCAATATATCTTGAAAATTACGATTTGTAAGCTGGACGCAAAGACATTAAACACACAGATTTAGTCAGTTTAGAAAATGAGTCAAAGTCGAAAAAAATCGTTAATGTTGACGTTCTTGATTTATTAAGAAGGAGTATACTACTCGGCACCATATAATACGGAATTTAGTTCCGCTGCTACTATATTTTTATGTAATAACACTTTTTCAATGGTATTTTTCTTTCCCTTTTTGCAAGACATCTGGCGTATGAAACTTGTTCTACGTTCATAACATTCTTGTTAGAGAAGCACACACGTTCGACTTGAAAAGTAACGAAATGTTAACCAAAAATCAAACCTTAATTTCATTTTTGGCGAGGAATATTGAGGAATTGGTGAATTACGCATCAAATGG